CTTTTCAACTTCCTTCAATATGTAGATCCTGTTTTGTTTGGTTTTTTTTTTTTTTTTTGCTTTGAGACTGTAGAGCCCAGTGTAGCAAATTTAAGGCTGCAGACAATTTGCCTCCTTTTTAAGTTATCTTTTTATGATCTCTGAGAAAGAGTCTGATGACCTTTAGTTTGCCTGAATGGAGAGTAGTAAAGTGTATGGTTTTTACTCTCCTATTCCCATGTTTTCTGTAATTTTAAGTCTTGATAGTAGGTGTATCTTTAAGAAAGTTTGTTAAAGCATTAAGTCTGCTTATTCTTTTAATTTACAAAAAATGTTAGTTCAGGACCTTGCTGTATGGATACGTAATTTTCAGAGACCTCTTGGTGCTGATAAAATACAGATGAGGTTACCTTAGATTCATTCAGTGAGTTTTGTGGTTTGGCTTTGGTCACTGTTCTCAAAGATGAGAAAAAAAGGCCTTACTTTTAAGCTCCTTAAAAGAACTTCTTTTTTGTATGAAAGGAAATTACAGAGAAAAAAATGGTTTGATGACATGTCTTGTCTGGCATGAGCTTTTAGCTAATCTACTCTTTCTGTTGATAGTCTGATAAGAACAACAGTTACATATGCTAACACTTTCTTGGTGGGCTTGTATCAAGCTTCATTGAAGAGTGATTTAATTATACCTTTCTTTTACTGCAGTCTTTGGTAATCTTAGTGTAATTTTACACTATAATGCTGTATTGCTGTAGACACAGCTGTCAGAAGAACATGTTTGTGTGGCTCATTATTGTATCACCAAATTACTATATATTTTTAAAATTTTTAAAAATTATTTTATGTATTTGTTATTACAATATTCATATTTGATTTCACTTATGGGGAAGACTAGGATTATTTAGTCTTCAGAAAAGATTATTTACCGTGCAAGAACAACTCTGTTGTAGGGAATGGACCTGGAGTGTTCTAGCTTCAGTTTCTGTACCATTGATCCTCCTTCCTGTTTCTTGCTATAGATTATTTGAAGTTGTTGCTTTTCCATAACTAGATTTCAGGAGACTAAAACTCAGTTACTGTCTTCTGCTGTCTATTTTAGGTCAAAAGAATGTTCAGTGACTATCACACTGAGTAGAATTTTGAGAATGAGTATGTATTCTAAGGTAGTCTAAGTTGTAAAATCTAAGTGTTTACACAGTGTTTTATTCTCATTTCTTTACAAGACACTTCATAAATTGTCTCTTGTGCCTATAGTTGTTAAGCTGTTGACAGCTCCTCTAACAGTGACCTTGCTAAGGTCATTGACTAGTATTACAAAAACTGAAGGTTACTTAAAAGGAAAAATTTGACTAGAAGTGGAGTAAGTAGAAATTCTTTTGAAAGAATTTAATCATGTATTTTTTACTTTAGGATTTGTACGTAATCAATAGTTTTCAGAAACCATTGATAGAGATGTGTAAATTTTTATTTGGTAATTCTCATTATAAGGCATGTCCGTCATATCTTATAGCTGGAAATGGAGAATTCTTTGCAACTTGGTTGTTTAAATAACTAGCCTTACTGTATTGCAGTCTCCTTACTGTATTGTAGGTTGTTTTTAACAAGACAGTGTGAAAAAGATTAAAAAGGGGTGATAACTTATTTGTCAGAAGACGAATTGAGCTTCACATCTATTAGCAGAAATGTTCATTCTTTGAGTGACTTGCATTAATTTGATACGGAAAGCCTCTCTCTAGTAGTGGGATGGGAAAATACTCAGTTTACATGAAATTTTGTTAATTCTAAAGCATAATGGAAATATGTTTAAGACTTTCTGTAAAGCAAAGTACTTGAGGCAGTTGTAAAATAAGAACTCTCAAATATTTCCTAATTTTATTCATATTTCCATTTTTTTATATTATGTATATTTTTTGAAACTTAATGTTAAAATAGGTAATCGAATGTGATAATTGAAAAAATTGGACTGTAATGTTTGAACATCATAGAAATGTTGCTGTCTCATTTCTTAGTTCCTGTGATAACCTGTCTCTCTCTGGCTGTCTCTCCCCTTTCCTCCCCATCTAAAAAAAGTGAGACACGCTTTCATTGCTCAGCTAAAGTAAAACAGATTTTGTCAGCCTAGATCTTGGGAACTGAACTCCTCAAATGCCTCGTGAAAATAAGTGTTAAGATAGAAAATGATAAAAAACGGAGGCCACATTATCACCTCATTCAGGGAAAAGCTGAAGCATAAACTCAGTCCTTACTAGGTGCTAAGGATCTAAACCATTTGTCTAAGTTTTGACTGAAGTGACTCAGTATCCAGAAGCCCTTTGCTTTGCTATATCATAGAATGGTTTGGGTTGGAAGGAACCTTTAACTATCACCTAGTCTAACCCCCCCCTACTGTGGGCAGGGACAGCTTTCACTAGATCAGGTTGCTCGGAACCCCATCCAGTCTGACCTTGAACACTTCAGATAGGTCGCCCACAACTTCTCTGGACAGGCTGTTCCAGTGTCTCACCCCCCTCATCGTAAAAAAAAAAAAAAGTCTTCCTTCTATCCAATCTAAATCTACCCTCTTTCAGTTTAAACCATTGCCCCATATCCTGTGACTGCAGGCCCTCATAAAAAGTTTGTCCCCATCTTTCTTGTAAGCGCCCTTTAATTACTGAAAGGCTGCAATAGTCCATCCATCAAATCTATCTCTCCAATTTAGCTGTGAGAATGTTGCGGGGGACTGTCAAAGCTGTCAAAGGCCTTACAAAGGTCTAGGTAGGTGACAACTATTGCTTTTCAGCTCTCCACTTGATGCAGTTCCTTTTGATTGAAGTAACTCAATTTCCAGAAGCCCATTGCTATGCTATATTGGATACTCAAAGCCTTCAGTGATGTGATCACCTTAACCAAGCCATCTCCATTCCGCCTCTCTTGACTGTTTTTAATGGTATCTTTGCAAACCAAAGACTACTTGGAACATGTGTTTGCTGTTCCTCTCCATTCTCTATACCCTTTGTGAAGGAAAAGGTTATGGGTAGATGGGAGATTTGCTGAATTAGAATGTTCGGTCACTTTCTCACTTTTTTTCTCCTGATTTTCCTCCCAGTTCACCCTTTCCTAATTACCCTTTCCAGTAGAACTTTCTGTCAACTCTGTCAAAAAGTTGTTGATTTCCTGAACATTCAGGTAGTTCTGCTCTGTGTCTCAAGAAAGACAAATCATGAGTGTTGGTTTTCCCAGATCTTTGAAACATGGGATTTGGGGTCTGACTGGGATTGTGGCATTGACTTAGGGAGAGTGTTCATCACATGCTGTGATGTGGAGTACCAACTGGAGAAGGATGAAATAGATGTTTGAGTGGAATGTTGTTCTTCAACAATTAAGAGAATATGGACTGCTTAAGAGTTTGGACTTGTGGCTCTTCATTTGGAGTATCTTGGTCACAATATTAGATTTTTCTCGTACTTTCTGTTCTCTAATTAGGTGATGAAGCAGTAACATCCAGGCCCTTTGCAGGATGTTTCTACTTACCGTTATTTGTGCTTACTTATGAGATTCTGACTAATACAAACATGTTACTGACAAAGACTGAATAGTCCTATGCTGCCTACTTTCTCAACATTTGCCATCAGAGAAGTAAGGTGACTTTAGTGTAGCGTAGGGTTTTGTCAACTCTGTAGCAACTGATTATAATGGGTTTCTTTTTGATGATGTCACAATTGACTCAGTAAAGATCTGGAATTACAGTTGTACCTGGGTGGTGATGCAAAGGAAGCTCCTAAAAACTGAGATCTTTTGTTGTGTGGACATAGGTATCAACTGTAAGGTCACCTTTCCATTTTATTTGGCCATGAAACACATGCTGCCCGCACAGAATGCTGCCCACAGTGTATAGTTTAGATAGTTATGTTAGGTGATGTCTGTTTTGAGTGTGTTGGTCATCTTGCAGTGGGGTTGAAACAAACCAGTAGATTTTATGTAAAACCTTTAGTCTTTGCTTCCTTTCAGTGAAGGGATATTTCCTGCTAGGATTTGAGCTTTGTTTTCTCATGCTGAGAAGCTGGAGAGGAGAGAGAAGGCCTACACAAATTCCAGATTGGCATGTGGTTGATTGGCAGACTGGTACAAAAATGCCTTTTTTGGACTAGCTTCTTTCTGGGTTAGTAGCGTCTTTCTGGGTTAGAGGGCAGAATGCCTACGTTTCTTGCACCTTCTGCCCCTTACTTATTGAGATAGATTTGGGATTGTGGATGGTGTAAGTCTTAGGATGGTTTGTCTTATTTTAGGGTGTGGTTTAGAGTGTAAACTCTCAAGTAAGACTTGTGTATGCTTACTATAAAGAGGGTTAAATATTAATTCTGGCACTGATAAGTTACGTTCTGCTCAAATTTTTTTAGTTATTCCAGAGATTTATATTTTTATGAGGACAGATTTTGGATGATAAAATGCTTTGCTGTTGTGAGGCAAGGCAAATATTGAAACTAAAGCCCCCCCCAGAAATCCAAGCCTGAAGATGGCAACTATTTTGTGGTAGGATTTATGAATCTCCTGGCCAGATGAATTTAATAAATTCAGTGTTTTATAAACAGGAACTCTTTTCTATTCCAGAGATGGAAATCACAGCAAAACAGTAGAATTATATTGTCTTCTAGTGATGCAAAATAAACAGTCAGTCTTTATGCAACTTAATATAGATTGGGTGGTTTTTTAATCGAAGTGGGTTTTTTCAGCTGATAGTGAAAGTAATAAAATCTCAACTTTCCCATAAAGCTAGGTCAAACATACATTTCAATCACCGGATTAGTTGTGAAGTCTTTGATGAAAGAGTCTCTCTTCCTGCATTAATAGTACCCTTTCTAAAAGTCACCTCTAAACTTGGAATAATTCCTGTTACTCTTCAAAATAACACTGAATAGGTGTACTATATATGTGGATTAAGCAGTATGTAAATGACTGCTTTCTACATTGGATGTTTTTTTCACTGTTTAATATTATTCATGTATGGATACATATTATCACAACTTATCATTTTTTCCTCTTTATAGGTCCTGCTGGGGACTTGCATCTGGCCTCAATGTGAAATTAAGGTAGAAAAACACATCTACATATGTGTTTGCTATTAGGATTTAGTTTATTCACTGGTCATGCCTGAAGAGTGATGTTCGTCTCTAGACGGCTAACTGCCAGGAAATATAAATGATTGTCCTAGAAGTCAAGCCTCTCTCCTATTTACTGGAGTGAAAATCACCTCCAGATATCGACGGAATATCAACTACAGAAAATGCTTCACGTTATAAGGATGCCAGCCACCTAGATTCATGCGCCCTATCTGTACAGTTGTTGTGGATGGTTTGCCATCTGAAAGCTCCTCAAGCTCTTATCCAGGCCCTGTATCTGTTTCTGAAATGTCTCTGCTACATGCTTTGGGTCCAGTGCAGACCTGGCTGGGACAAGAGCTAGAGAAGTGTGGCATTGATGCCATGATTTATACTCGGTATGTCCTCAGTCTTCTGCTGCATGATAGCTATGACTACGACCTGCAGGAACAGGTATTTACATATTTTAGATGTTGTCCAGTGAAAGTGAGTTTTTGTATTAGTTATGTTTTGTGTATTATACATGGGTATGGCTCAGATGGGGGGGTGGTTGTCTTTCAGTGTGTGGGTGGAAGGGGGGTATAAACCACATGGGGATTAAATTTGGTGGGTAAACTGAGATTAAAGTAGTTAGTTAGCTATACAAGCAATTACATAAAACAAAATTTTCACATTGCTACAATTGATATCAGAATTATTAACACTGGAATGTTCTGTATCATAAACGCAGTCCTTCAGTACTTGAGATTATAAGGTTAATTTAACACTGGAACGTTAGTTTAGTAATGTAATTCTTGTGAACTGTGTGTCAAACTGGCCTGCTTCACAGTAGTTTGTAGACTCCCCATCACTTCTCATGGATTTCATCTTGTGCTATTTCCAGTAACGAATAAAAAAAAAAAATTCTTTTTTTAGTATTCAAGTATTTAAAATACATTATTGCACATACATTATTCATCTCTTCTAAAAGAATGTTAATGCTGAATCCTGATAAAAGGCATGTAAAAGAGTTGTGGAACAGTGAGTTGCTATCCATGACTGTAATTCAAAAAGGGCAGGGGAAGAAAAGTGAAGCTGTGTATCAGGTAGGCACAACTCTATTACTGTTTCTTTGTGCCTTTATTGCTCAAGATTTTGTTTTTATTTCTTTTTAATTTCCCTGCATCATCAACCTATATCAAAATACTTTTGGATGGAGTGGAGTTTTCTGGATATAGGACTCAAGGAAGCTCTGGAATTTTTCAAGAAGGGAGGATGCTGTTCATCATAGACTTTGTCTTACAAGGTGGCTGTGATTACAGCAAGAAGGAAGTAAAGCAAATACCTTTTATTTGGTGGCTTCATTATTAGTTCTTTTTTGTTGCTGTTGTTTTGGTTACACTGCACACATTGCTACCTAACTGCTTCAGAACTTTCATTGTTTTGTAGTTTACCTTTTCAAAAATCCAGCAAGAGCAGGGCAGGGTATTGTAGAATAGATGTAAATGTAGCTGAAGCAGAAAAAAATTCATGTCAGATGATGCCAGTTTCTGAACTCTTAGCAACCATTACTATGCATAAAAGCCTCATGCTTCCATTGTGCAAAACAGAAAACTTGACGTGCAAAAGTAATTTTTGTTCAAAAGTCTGGCAGCAGTGGAAGTCACCAGGAACAACCTCATGATTCATAATAATTTAAAAAACCACCAACTGTAAGCACTCTTTAGAATGTACCTTAACAGTGAATTTATTTAGGTCTTGGTCAGAGGTGAATAACTGTATTTTAGAAGGGGACAGAATAAAGTTCCAAAAGCTGTCTGAAAGGATGGTGTGGGATGAGGACAGAAAAAAGAAACCAAGTGAAACCTCACCAGAATTTGAGGAGCTTTATGGATAGGCCCGTGGCCTTGGGGAAAAATGAAGAGTTCCATCTTTTCAGTCCATTTTAGAGCATAGTCATAACTGTGAAGTGACTACTGTGGTAATTTGAAATGTCCCAAGTGCCAAAATTAGTTTTCGTTTTATCAGGCTTTGCAAGAAGCAGGGTAACTATATTATGAAAAACCTTATTCAGTTTATTTCTCATTTTGATACCTTAACTGGGTCTTTATGGGTTGATAGCGGAGCTTTAAGGAATGTGTCTGTTCTTTTTCAAAGTTGATTATCTGAACCTAATGAGCCAAACAGGGAAGAATACCACATGCTGACAAGGGTAGCCAAAATCTGTGCTGCTGAGTGGGTGCTGTAGTACAAACGTATAGGATGTCTTCTGAATGACATCGAGATTTGAAGAAGCTGGAAGTTTCTTTTCCACCTCCTCCAGTTTGATCCTGCTTATAACATACTTCTCTTGCATTTATACCCTCTACTTCAAATAACTGTTTTCTAAGTTTTGAGACCTAATATCAATTTAGTTTTGGGATAATAGTCTGTAGTAATGTTTGGATGCATATGTTGTGAAACGTACTGCTACCTAATTCCTTTCTCAAATAGTGTAGTCTTTAAAGACTGCAAATACAAATTTCTTACATGGAGAATTGAGGAAAGCTTAAAACACACGTGCTTGTTCTATTTATTTATATTTATTTTACTTATTGCCTACTGCTTATTTATATGACCTGGCATTTAAAAATTAATTTTGGTTTAGTTAAGTCATTGAGAAACAAGAAAATCTGTACTCTATAGCATATGTTTGCATATGAGCAGTTTCAGTCCAATTTTGGTGATGGGTACAATGTTAAGACAAACACTAGTGTTATTTAGAAATATAAATAAGGGAAGAGTGCAGCAATTAAATATCTAAATGAGAAATAATTTAGGAGTAAAATACTGAGAGTTGCTGAGTTCCTTTAATTCAGATTAATTCCCGTAGAAGAGCTGGCTCTTGGCATCCCAGGAATTTTTTCTTTCAAACGATTCCTTTGATTCTTGAGAAAGATGACAGAATTCTCGATAGTGGGTTTATTGCAATGATTTCTCCCCAACTTAGAGGATGCCTACAAAGAGGACGGAGGCTCTCTCTTCACAAGGAGCCACATGGAGAAGATGAGGGACAATGGGTACAAGTTGCACTGGGTGAAATGTCATCTCAATATGAGAAAGAATTGTTTGGTGGGGGTGTTTTTTTGTTTGTTTTTTATAGTGAGAACGGTCATTCACTGGAACAGCCTCCTCAAGAATATGATAGAGTCCCCACTGCTGGAAGTTTTCAAGATGCAGTAAGACAGATAATCTTATCTAGGCTCCCTTTCCCTCAAAAGGGTTGACCAGATGATCTTCTGAGGTCCTTTCCAACCTGGGCTATTTTATGATTCTTCACTTTTAGAACTGTGTTTCTGTGGAGAGTCATTAGCCATCATTTCTTGCCAAAAATACAGCTATGACTTCTGTTTTGAACACGTTAAAAGTAATATGTGGTCTGTGAACACCCAGGATAGGATTACACATATGAACAATCCATTGCAATGTGCTGTTTTGGGGGGTGGGGTCATGAAGAGGACAAATTTAGGAAGTCTTAATCTTATGGATACTGTATAAATCATCCTTATTAGACATGTTGCAAACTGAAGTCAAGATGGTCATTAAGATCTTTCCACCTCAGAATGTTGATGACATCATTAGCACTGTTTTAGTCGCTTCAGGGAGCCTCCTTCCATGCTTTCTTTATAGTGTTCTGGTGTCATCAACTGTAGCAGGGAAATGGAACTCTGAAGTCCTGGACTGAGGTTCTGTCAGGTAAGTACAGAAAGATTTAAAATAGAAAAACGAATGAAAAAACATCCCCAACCTTACTAGGCATACCTAGCTATTTAAGATACCAGTGTTACTGTGTTATCAGACACTTCTGTTTATGTTTAAAATAAGTATTTCAAAAGAATGGGGGAGTCTTGATTGACTAGGTCTTCAGGGTTATTGTTGAGAAAAGCAGGATGTTCCCTTCTGGTTTGTTAGTAATAAATAATACGTGATTTCTGGTCTTGATTCTGCTGCAGACTTCTGTGGCTTTGGTCACTTGACCACTTTTCCTCCAATATTATCTGTCTCTGTACGGTGAGGTAGTTTGATATGTGGATAGAAGATAAAATGTGTTTAAGGGTTTGGTGTATGGAGTTGGTTGGGTTTTTTCTTTGTTTTGTGTGTGTTTGGTTTGGGTTTGTTGTGCGTGAGTCTCGGTTTTGGGAGTCTTTTTTGTTTGGGGTTTTTTTTTTTGTTGTTTTTATTATTACTATTAATTCCATGCCTTGCCCAGTTGAGTATCATTATATGGATGCAGGCTCAATATTGCAAAATGATGGCTCAGTAAGTCCTGAGTTTTCAGGAGTTGATAGGAGCTTTTTGCAAGTACTTGCATGTGGGGCTGTGGAGGGGCACAGTACAGGTAACACCCTAAAACCCTAATACACCGCAACCAAATTTTACTGGAGTGTTTGCAGTTTTATTCTGACTCATTGGCTTGAGCTGAAATACCTATTAAAGTATTGGGGAAAATTGAAACGCAGCTGGGCAAAACATACCTGCTTATCAAAGTACTAGAGAGCTTTCGAGAAAGGAACCTTGTTTATGGTAAACTGCACTGTGGTACCAAGATCTTCCAGACTGCTATGGTTATACATATATTATACATACCTATCAAGAATTACTGTAACACCTCCTAAATATGCACACTTTAAATGTTTTTTAAAAAAATACTCAATAACTTAATCATTGTTGGCACTTATAGCACAATTCTTATTCAAGCCTTACTTGCTACTTTTGGAAATTAGTCAGATATAAAAGTTCTTAAGCAGCCCTTTGTCCTTAGTATGTGCACTTTTTTCTTTTTTTTTTTTTTATGTGTCATCGTCCCCTGCTTTTTTTTTTTTTTGTGGCAGTGATGTTGCTGGTGGGAGGGTTTAAGAGGGTGGAAGCTCTCTCTTTGGGATGTTTCCCCAGCGTTGACTGGTGGAGGAGAGAATACAAAGACAATATGAATTGGGTTTGTACATTTTCCTTGATTACTGTGACACAGCAGGATGTTCAGAAATAGTTCGGATTTTTTGTGGCTAGTTAGTTTAGGTCTGTTGTATCAGAACACCAGTAAGGACTTCAGTAGTAGGTTTGCCTTTTTTTTTTTTTTTTTTTTTTCCTAGAAACAAAGATGTTTGTTTCTTACCAATTTTCTGGAGAGCATGATTCTCAAATTGATTTACACATATATTAGATGTCTATGTGGTCAAAATTACTAAAGGAATCTGTTGGACCATGTTATATGACATTATTCATTATTTAGGTGTGCTAGGGGGGTTTTTTTGTTTCTTTTGTTTTTTAAGATTTGAGGCCTATTGATGATCTCTGTTCAAAATGTTTGGAAACCACTGCTATTTTGTTCTGTGGTAGATGACCTTTTAGATGCATTCGGTCTGTTAAGGAAAACCTCCTAAAACTGGTATGGATTTAAAGACTGTGTGATGAAAACTGAAGTGCACAATGTTTCT